CCCCCCCCCCCCCCGCTTTCCAACTCTTAAACATATTTTTATCTCTGACTTTGGTACTTAAACGCAAAATTAATAAATGGTGTGGGCATTGTTCCACCATTTAGATAATTTTTCATAGATAGGAATATATATTTTCCATGCCAGAAAAATGTTAAATCTGTTAAATTAAATTAAATTAAATTAAAAGTTTGTGTTCTTGAAGGTTCCAAGGTTCCAAGGTTCTAGGTATTCCTTTTGATGTTTGTATTCTGAATAGAGAATGCAGAAATATAATTCCATTGTTACACACAGAACTCAAGGAATATACCAGGGTGTCTCAATATAATTCCAGTGTTATATTCTGAACTTAAGGAATAGGGTAGGGTGTCTTAAGTTCATTCCATTGTTACACACAGAACTCAAGGAATAGAGCAGGGTATCTAAAAATAATTCCATTGTTGCACACAACTCAAGAAATAGGGCAAGGTGTCTCGAAATAATTCCATCATACACACACAACTCAAGGAATAGAGCATGGTATCCCAAAATTATTCCATTTTTACATACAGAACTAAAGGAATATAACTGGGTGTTTTTAAAATTCGGTGATGGTGATGGACCAAACCTCTGTAGAGTAAAAAAGTAGATGTTAGTTACACATTTATTGAAAGTATATTTCGGTCTGGGTTGACCCTCGTCAGTTCTTGAGATTGTTTCTTCACAAAGATTAAAAACAAACTGGTTGTCTCAATTTAATTCCACTGTTACATTCAGAACTTATGAAATAGAGCAGAGTGTCTCAAATTAATACCATTGTTATACACAGAGCTCAAGGAATAGGGGAGAGTGTCTCAAATAAATTCAATTTTTACACACAGAACTTAAGGAATAGAGCAGGGTGTCTCAAATTAATTCCATTGTTATACACAGAACTTAAGGAATAGAGCAGGGTGTCTCAAATTAATTCCATTACACACAGAACTTAAGGAATAGAACAGAGTGTCTCAAAATAATTCCATTGTTACACACACAACTTCAGCGATAGAACAGGGTGTCTCAAATTAATTCCCTTGTTACACACAGAACTCAAGGAATAGAACAGGGTGTCTCAAAAGTATTCCATTATTGCACACAGATCTTAAGGAAAAGGGCAGAGTGTCTCAAAATAATTCCCCTTTTACACACAGAACTCAAAGAATAGAACAGGGTGTCTCAAAAGGCTGATGATGAAGAAGTCTTCTAGGGCCAACTACGAAAGTAGAACCTAACCATCAAAATGTATTCCATTGTTACACACAGAACTCAAGAAATAGGGCAGTGTTTCAAAATAATTTCATTGTTACACACACAACTCCACACAACTCCAGCAATAGAGCAGGGTGTCTAAAATTATTATTTGTTACATCTAGATCTCATCTTAAAAGAAATGTCAAATATTGTTGTTATTTTA